CCTGGTAGCATCAGCTGAACTCACCTGTGAGGCTCTCAAGATTACCCCATTCAAGCCAATCATGGTATATATCATCCACTGCCTTTCACATATTCTGGGTCATTCTTCCTTCTCCCTCCTTGGGCTCTTCCATATCCAAGTCTTTCACTTACTGTTTCTTAAAAACTCCAAATTACCCTGGCCTCCAGCCCTGCCCTGAACCCCCAACCCTCCTTCCTGTCCCTCATCCCTTTATTTCCTCTCATTTCTGCTCAGAAGCTGTGAAGGCCCAAAGCTCACCATGGCCTTGTCTCCTTGACCAACCTCTCACTAACCCCTATCTCACCCTCTTTGTTGATTGGTGCTCTCTTACAGACAGATCAGGAACCTGCCATGTGGCATATGCAGTGGTTACTTCCAATAAAACCATTGAAGCCACCAGCCTGACAATGGGGACCTCTTCACAAAAGACTGGATTAATTGCCTTGACAAGAGCACTCCATATAACCAAGGACAATGGGCTAGCATTTATACTGACTGTAAATATGCATTTTTAATAGCTCATACTCATTCTGTGCTGTGCAGGGAATGGTGTTTCCTTATTACTAAGGACACGTTCATAGTTAATGAACCCCTTACACCCAAGCACTTAGAGGCCCTCCAGCTCCCAGCAGAAGTATCCATAATTCATTGCCAGGGACACCAGTCCTCCAAGTACCCAGTGGCCATGGGCAATGCGAGGGTTGACTCAGTAGCCCTGGAACTAGCCTCCAGCCACACTGGATCAATGGAAAAGATTTTGTTTTTGACACCCTCTTATCAGTCCTTCTATCAACCAGAGGAAAGGGATGAACTTCTGAAAAATTGGCCACACAGACAAAGGATGGATGGTTCTACTTAAGTAACTATCTCTCATTCTTCCTCCAGACCAGACACTGCCCATCATTTCAGATATTCACCAGACCTTACACATAGGCCCCAAAGTTTTGTTCCATTTTTTAAAGTCCCTCTTTGACCATACCCATATTTGAGCTCCTATTTTATAGGCTCACTCCTGACAGATGTGTGCCTAGGCCAACCCACAGGAGTCCCTCCATATATGGCAGCCTCTTCACCAGTCTCAAGGACATCAACCTAACAAAGACTGGCAGGTGGACTTCACCTGAATGGCCACTCATAAAAAATTCTGCTACCTCCTAGCTCTGTTGACACATTTACAGGATGGATAGAAGCATTTCTCACCTCCAAGGAGACAGCACATATACTCCTGGACCACATCTTGAAATTTGCAGGTAAATGGATGACACTAGAAGAAACCACCCTTAGTGAGGTAACCCAGTCACAAAAACACAAACATGGCATGTACTCACTTATATATGGATTTTAGGAATGAAACAGGGGAGTTCCAGCCTACAATCCCACCACCAGAGCATCTGGAAAACAGGGAGGACCCTAAGAGAGATATGCATGGAACTCCAGAGAAGCAGAATGAGACAGAATCTCCTGAGAGAAGTGTGACCATGGGGGTGAGGAAAATGGGATCTGGGAGAAATAGAGGGGGAGAAGAGGGGGGGAGAGTAGAACATGGGGGAGCAGGAAGGTTAAGTCTGGAGAAGAATAGAGGCGAGTAATATGAGAGATACCATAGTAGATGGAGCCATTATAGGTTTGAGGAGAGATATACAAGGATAACACCAACTGTCAATCAAAGCAATAGTGGAATTTTTAATTTTAAACTAAACATGATTAATGTTTTTGTCCCCCCCAAAGAAAAACTCATTCTGAACATTCCTATAGATCTAGGAAAGCCAAGGAGTGATGTGAGGGAGCAGGAACTAGAATGTCCTTGTGGCTGCTATCTGAAAGAACAGCAGGTCCTCGGTTGGATACATTTCTGAGTGAGGCAAGTCTTATGTGTAGGAAGGAACAAAGGCCCTGCATTCCTGCACACACAGCAAAGCTAGCTGATCCTCAGGATGCTGGTCATCAAGGACAAACACAAAGCAATAGCAGTGCTTGCAAAAGTTTAATCTTTAACGTACTTCCCTCTTGGTGTTGTGAACAAAGGATAGAAACATATTGTCCAACTGGTTGCCCCAGGACTCTCCTTGTTACCAAGCATTGATAAGCCCACCCCACAACCTTCAAAAATAGATGTCTTTTGTTTGTTTGTTGCATTTGGTTTGAGACAGAATCTCATGCACCAAGCTGGATTCAAACTCCAGGATGACCTTGAATCTGTGGTCCTCAGGCTCAGATTACACATCCCTGGTAGGATGGAAGATGTGTGCCACCACACCTGGTTTATACCATGGTAAGGATCAAATCCAGTGCCTCATACATGCTAGACAAGCACTCTCCCAATGGAGCTACATCCCCAGGCCCAAGTTCAAAACCGTTTATGTCTTGTAGGCATTATTTCTTTAGAGTCTTAGAATTTTGTCACAACAAGGACAGCTGGCATGTCTGGGATTTACTTTGTCCTTCCCTGTACAGGCTATTATTTCCAGGCACAGTACAGGACAACCCTGATGATATTCTGAGTGACTAGATCATCTGAAGCAGACTCCCTGGTTGTCCATTCAGTGGCTTTCTCTGACTCTTTTTACTGACTTTTGGGACCCTCATTCTTATGCTAGGTGACCTTGCCCAGTCTTAATATATGGGAAGGTGCTTGGTCTTAGTTGATATGCCATGTTTTATTGATACTCATGGGAAAGCTGTCCTTTCCTGGATGAAGACAGAAGAGGATGGGATGGAGGCTGGGAGCTGGGATGGGGAGAAACTGGGGAGGACAGGATGGTAGAGAAGGCTGAGACCAAGATGTAAAATAAATAGATGAATACATTAATAATAATAATAACTGCTTGGGGCAACACTCTAGAAGTTTAAACCAATATCAGCTACTAAGTTATGTTGAAAGAGATTTCCTTGTCACCTCACATGGATTGTGAATCTGCCAGCCCGAGCATTTCCAAAGACCTCCACAACCAGACTTTGCTAAGTACCTCCCCATCTCACTGCCCTTGCTTGGTTGAAGTTTAGTTTGAGTGGTCTTGCTGAAGATAGGAGTGAGGTATTGAAGTGACATGCTACTCTTAGGTCTATGAGACCTTTATGGACATGCATGCTTATTTTATGATTTGGGAGCGTCAACTCTTGGTACAGATATATTTATAAATGTTATGGTTTCTTCAAAGGTTGTTCCTTTGCATTATATATTGGCTTTCTTTATCTCTTGTCAATAATTTCAGTTGGATTCTATTGAACTGCCCCACCAACCTGTTTTCAGTTTCTACTCACTTGATAGACTGATTCCACCCTTTGATACAAAAATCCGTGATAAACAGTACCAACAAAATTCCACAGAGTTGAAAAAATAACTATGAGAAGAAACCTACATCAGTATACATGAGTGTAAAATTATTAGTACCTGCTCCTTTTAAATAAGTGAATTGGTTATACATGATACTGAGTTACATAAGGAAATTTAAGTTAAAAAATAAAGTAAGACAATTTAATAACAAATTTCAAAGATTATTCAGACTTCCTCAGCAGATACTGTTAAAATAAAACAAAATAGGAAAATAAAATAGGAATTTCATATCTAACTAAATAGACAAAATATAGAAATGATCACCAACTTACTATAAAGGATTGCCTATAAAATCACAATCATAAGTTATAAAGATTCCCTCTGACATGAGCTTCATTACTCAGAAATATGTGCCCTATTAGTCCTAAGGCAGAAAGTTTACATTATAGCCTAGAACACACTTACATGTGAAAACTACTCTATTAATCTCTTCTGTAATTAAAATAATTTAGCAAACAAATGGATGAGGGTATTTGATCATTCTCCTAATTCGAGGATCAATAGAAAAATGGAAATGATTTTTTAAACACTTTGCGTGTGTTGATATGGCAGGAATATCTGTGTAATTTCAAGGCCATTCTGGTCTACAGAGTGAGTTCCAGGTAAGCTAAGGTTACAGAGTAAAACGTTGGCTCAAACACAGATATACAGACACACACACACACACACACACACGTCTGGGTGCCTCGTTCTATGTGTAAATATATATTGATATGTAAATCCCAATATATAATATGATAATATTTTAAAGCTCATTTAATGCTATCATAAATGCACATTCTATGCTGAGTTTCTGATAACTCTTTATGGCTACCACCAATCAAATGCTTTCAGTTCATGGGTACAATGTTCAGTAACAGGCAAATAAACAGGCTCTCCACTGATGCATAGCAACATTGACCAGGAAAAACACCAGCCAAGTAGCCCTTTTGTCAGCCGATGTCCAGACTCTGCAGTGGCAGCCTGGCTGTTTGAGACTTCTACAGACACTGCAGATGATCACGACAGTCACAACTGAGGATATGCTCGGGCAGTCTGCAGACCTTACCAAGCACAGTGGACTTCAGATAACACTTCCCACCCAGCAGCTAGTCACACCCCAGTCAGACAAGGAGCACCTCCTGAAGTGCTCCACCAGAAGCCCCCTGTTTGATATTAAGGACTAGGTGCTAACATGACCCTTCCTGAAGATGAAGGATGTACACACAATCTTCCCACATAAGCCTCTGTCTAGACAAGCAGGCTGCTGTGTTCACCTTGCCAGCATCCAAGGGACATATTCCTGTGCCACCCCCTCATGCTGCAACTCAGGCTCAATAACAGCCTTCTTCCGATTGTTTTTCGGTGCCTAGTTTTGATCTCTAGCATTAGTGGAACAGTTTGAACACACAGCACAGAAAGAGGAAGAAAGTCAGGTACCACCCTGTGCTGCTGATTGTAAGATTGCCTTTCAGTTCATGTGTATGTTTATTGCCCCCTGGAGCAAGGAAATGTGAGGGGAATGAGGAAATGAGTAAGTCATAGGAAAGGGATTTGGTGTATTGCCAATGTGGAAGTGGTTTACTTTGAACTCTGCTTCTGGGAACCCACTGTCCATTGTCATTTCCTGAGTGGACTATAAATTCAGTAGAGGCTGTCCAGTCTTTTCTGTGAGTGATCTCTGAACATCAGCGTGCGGCAATAACAGCCCTCTGCAAGAGTGTGCTCAGTAGAAATGGAAAACCTACTGAAGTTGTGTCTCTTTCTTCTCTGCCTTGAAACCGGTAAGTATTGCCTGTATCTTGTTGCCTTATCTATCAAAGAAAGAAAATCAACTGCCTTTTATTTTACCTTGCCTTGCCTGGGGTGTTGAGACATGCCGACTGGAGCACACCTATTAGGCAAAACATGGTTGCAGCCAAGTAATCCAGAGATCTAGTTTTCCATGGGAAGTGACAACACAGCACCTGTCTCCTTTAAGTAGTCTTTATCTTTGCAGCTCTCTCTGTGCAGTGCGTACTGTGTCGAACTTACACAAATGGAGAGTGTCTTAATGGGAATGACACATGCATTACAAGACCTGATGAAAGGTGTATGTTCCGCAGAATCGTGTATGCATCTGAAAGTAAGTATGTGCTCTGTGCTCTGGAGAATTCTGTTTCTCCTTCAGGATTCCAAACACCATCTCTGAGATATTGTACTTAGAGAAAAAGAGTCCACTGACATCCAGTTATGATATTCCAAACCTTGTGCTGGGGTCGACTTTTGGAGAATGCTAAAGCTAAGTACATCTTGAGTGAATAGGACTATGGGACTTCTCTCCATCATTGTATTAATACATTCATCAGCCCTTGATCTGCACCAGCTCTATTTAGGGTCTGTCTTGGTCAATTTTTCCATTCCCATGACAAAAGAGCATAGCCAAAGCAATTATAAAAGAAAACACTTAATTTGGGTCTGGCTCAAAGTCCCAGAGTTAAAGTCCGTGATGATCACGGCGGACAGCATGGCAGCAAGCGTGAAGGCATGGTAGTGGTGCAGGAGATGAGCATTTACATGCTGAGTCATAACAATGGGTAGAGACGGAGAGACAGAGAGACAGAGAAACAGAGACAGAGACAGAGACAGAGAATGGCATTGACTTTTAAAACCCTAATACCTATCCCTGGTGGCATATCTCCATGAACAAGGCTACAATTCCTAATTCTTCCAATGAACTTTGAACAAGTAGATCAATGTTGAAATATTCAAACCTATGAGAGCTGTTTTAATTCAAACTCCATAGGCTCCAAGGATACAAAATATCAGTCTTTTCCTGGTAGATTTAGCTTTTTTAATGTTCATTGAACTTCTATCTTAGCCTGGAATCACCTTCTCATCCTCAGGACAACTTGGTGCCTCTCAAGTCTTCCTCTTTTGTTCATCTCCTGGCATCTTTCATGGTGTATCCCTCCTGTTATTCCACAGAATCTTGTGGGCTAATGTTATCTTGAGCTCTACATGCCCAATTGTTCACCACTGAGTCTGGATACCAACATGCATATCTGCTTAAGTTTGGATGATGCTCTGTGTCTCAACATATAAAACCTCAAGCTCTCCACTAAGCAAATGTTTGTCCTGTAGAAAAGGCTATTGGGTAAATCGACTTTCTCCATATATAGATAAAATGCATGTGTCAGTAAGGCTTAAAGGCATGAAGCAGTAACTGCCAGTCAAGAAAATTCTTTCATTGAAAGCATCCTTAAACCAAAAGTACTTGGATGAGGTTGTATCCTGACTCAAAATTCTGTCTTCTTGCTATCTTCTTCCACAGGCTATACTATGGAAACTGCGGAAATGGGCTGCACCCCTTACTGTACTAATGACACAATATTTGACCGCCTAAAATTATTTACATACTGCTGCAATTCTGAAGATTTCTGCAATGGCATTAACTTACCAATCATAACAGCTTAGTGTAAGCTGGTTTCAGTTGACCTCATCATTCATTTCCATTTCTTCCTGTCTTTCTTTTCTTCCTTGGGTTTCATATTTTTTAAGACCAGGGATTTTTCTAAGCCTCACATTTTGCAAGTCATAGAACTTGGGGACAGACAGAACTTCCTTGGTATTAAGAAAATGTATCTGATTATATTAGCTAATTCTTATTCCTGATATTCCCTAGACCTCATCACCATGAATGTAGTTGACATGCGGTTACATCAATGCATTTGTCACACCAGAGGGGCTCAGCAAAACAGATGAGTAGATAAAAGGATGGGTAAAATGTCAGAAAGAGGGGGAACAGTCCCAGTACCCTAAAACATGTGTTTCAGAAATTGGTTGCAACTATTTTGCATCGTGACTTACACTTCCAGGGACAAATTTAAAGCAGAAAAGATTGCTGTAGATCCTGGTTTCAGTCCTTCATTGTCTTGTTCCATTGTCATCAGCCTAAGCTAAAGCTAAAAGCTAAACATGAAACGCCATGACATACCAAAACTCCTCACCTCATGGTGTCCAGGAAGCAGCAAGACAGAAGATAGGGTAAGACAAGGATGCTAACAAAAAACCCTCGGTGGCCTGCTCTAACAAAGTAAGCCTCACAGCTGAAAATAAAGACATCTACATGGTCTAGTTCCCATGAATGATAAAAATCACAGCTACAAGGTTGTAATACCAAGTTTCACCTAGTGAAGAAAATCTCCACCTATTGCTTCTGTTATATAGCTGCCAGAAAATAAATCGACTAAATGGTAACTACTCTTTGAAAGATGTTGTTTTATTTCTGAGCATGTAGAACCAGCAATGAAAATGGTGTTGACTCTCAGTAAGACCGAATTAGATTTGCAAGCCCTCATTCCCTTCTTCCTCCAAAGTTCAGGCACCTTAGGATTAAACTTTCATTTCATTGATTTCAGGCATACTAAATCGTCAACACTGAGTAGAATCAAATTTCTTCTCAATGTATAGGATACACTCATGATTCAGGAAGACATCAGCCTTTCAATTAGCATACATAGGATTTATTAAACAGTTACTACTACAGATCATTTTCCCCTTTATTAATTGGATATATTGCAAATAGGATGGTTGGAAAAGGATTAAAGTGTCTAAGAAGTGATGAGTCACAAATGTAGTAGCTAGGCCTCATGCCCTCCTTTCAAGGCTCAGTGATTACCACAGAAAAGAGAGCAGAAATACTGAAAGAGTCAAAAATGGTGTAGTCCTAGAGAAAAAAACCCCTTTCCTGAACATGACAAGGACTTTGCACTCCTGGACTCAGGGCAGTTTTGGTTCCCTCTACAAGATCTGCACATAATCAAGCCAGTCGGCATGCCAGCATGGATGGAGGAGGGGACCATCATTTCCTACCCCTACCTGAAGTGCTACTGAAAGTTAAGGACTATAAGGGGAAAGAGAATCAGTTTTCTTCAGAGATTTGGACCTCGTTAACTTGTCCATGTTCTGATAGATGTCTCCAAAACTATGTTTGTTTGAACAGCACTAACTGACTCAGTGGTTTGGTTTTTTAATGACATGAAATGTGTTGCATGAAGAGGATTTAGAAGGGATTGGATGGAAGAATGGATGATGTTGCCATGATCCAAATAATTAAATAGAATTTATCTACCACATTTGCCTTAAAAATGATTAATACATCTTTTGCTAAGTAAAATTCTATCTTTCCTTCATGGGAAGAAGAGGATACAGGATGGTCAAGTGGGAGACAAATGGGGAGGGAGATCAAGGAAAGAAGTACCTTGATAGAGAGAGCCACAACGGGGTTAGGTAGAAACAAGGTGCCAGGGAACTTCCAAATATCCACATGGACGACCCCAGCTAACACTCCTAACAATGGTGGAAAAGATGCCTGAACTGACCTCCCCCTGAAATCAGATTGGTTAATTCCCCAACTATCATCATAGAGCCTTCATACAGTAATTGATGGAAGCTGATGCAGAGATTCACACTCCAGCACCAGGCCAAACTTTAGGAATCCAGTCAAAGAGAGAGAGGAGGGAGCACATGAGCCAGGGAAGTCAAAATCAGGGACATGAGAACCGTGCTCACATGGAAACTCATGAACTGTGGGCCAACAGCTGTGGAGCCCCTAAGAGACTGAACTAGGCCCTCTGTATGTGGGAGACAGTTGTGACACTTGGGCTGTCTGAGGCTTGTTGTTGCCCATTTCTTACAAGGCGCTGCCATGCTAGACCTTAGCACCAGTAGAAGGGACTTTGTCCTTCCCCAGCTTAATATGCCAGACTTTGTTGACTCTCCACAGGAGCTCTTGCCTAATATGGGGGTGGACTTGTGGATACCTAAGGCGGAAGAAGGGGTGGGAAGGAGAACATTGCAAATAGAGAAAGCCAAGTAACATGTAAAGGTAGACCTATCAGAATTACACCCAACTTCTCAATGGAGACTCTAAAAGCAAGAAAGTCCTGGACAGATGTTTTACAGACACTAAGGTACCAGGGATGTCAGACACTAAGGGACCAGGGACCAGATTTAAACAGTACATATTTACAAATCCAGCATGACAGAAAGTACTACAAGGAAAACTGCGACCAAAGGAACTCAGTTATACCCATGAAAACACAGGCAATAAATAATCTCACAACAATAAACCCAAAGAAGGGAAACACACACACTACCATCACCACCACCAAAACCAAAAAATCAGGAATTATCAATCACTGGGCAATAGCATCTCTTAATATAAATAGACTCAATTCATCAATAAAAAGACACAGGCTTTAAACAGGGATATGAATGCAGGATGCAGCCTTCTGCTGCATGCAAGAAATATACCTCAACTTCAAAGACAAACATTACCTCAGAGTAAATGCTTGGGAAAAGATTTTCCAACTAAATGGTCCTAAGAAGCAAATCAGTGTGGCTATCCTAATATCTATCCTAATAGACTACAAGCTAAAATTAATGAAAAGAGATGGAGAAGGACATTTCATATTCATCCAAGGAAAAATCCGTCAAGATGAACTCTCAATTCTGAACATCTGTGACCCAAATACAAGGGCACCGACAATTGTAACAGAAATATTACTAACACTTAAATCATACATGAAACCACACGTTAATAGTGGGAGACTTCAACATATCACTTTCACCAGTGGAGAACTCTGCCAGACAGAAACTGAACAGAAAAACATGGAAACAAATAGATGCTATGACTCAAATGGACTTACTAAACATCTACAGAACATTTCACCCAAACACAAAAGAATATATCTTCTTATCAGAAACTCATGGAATATTCTCTAAAATTGATCACATACTCATTCATAAAGCAAATCTCAACAGATACAAAAAAGTTGGAGTAAATCCTTGTATCTTATTGGGCCACTAAGGTTTACAGTTGGAGTTCAACAACAACACAAACTACAGAAAACATACAAACTCATAGAAACTGAACCACTCTCAACTGAACCACCGAGTCAAGGAATTTATAGCGATATAGATTAAAGATTTCCTTGTATTCAACAAAAACGAACGAACAACATACCCAAACTTATGGGACACAATGAAAGCAATGGGGAGAGGAAAGTTCATAGGACTAAATCTGCCCAGGGGGATCCCTCACTCCAAACCCTGCCCTGTCTCAGAAAGCCCACTAAACAGTGAGTGGCTCCTCACCCAGAGACAACCCTGGACCATGCCTACAGGGTGTTTCAATGGCCTATTAAGGAAGCCAACTGATTTTCCTTTCCCTCCCTAGGTTCTGGCAGACCATCCAAGAGCATTTTACTCATTAAACCTAGACTTTAAATTTTTATTCAGCTTGGTTTGATGCGCTGCATCAGCACAGAGGCTTAATATTGGGGTACAGAAATCTTTCATTTGGTGTGTTTGGCAGAAATTGAACCCAGGTCAACTACTTGGAAGGCAGCTAAGCTTCCTGTATTGGGATTGGGTTACAGCCAATTTAGTTGTGGACCAAACTGTTTCCATGGGGATCCCCAAACAACCTAGGCCATTGCCAAAAGTGTAAGTTGCTGTCTCTACCTGACAGCAAGGCTCTGTTGCTGAAGATAACACTTATGAAATCTCAATAGTACTGTTGCCTCAACAAGATCTGCATGGTGACAATAATCAACATGTCAATGTGGATGAGGAGAAGTTTTCAAGGCTCCACCCCTAGATAAAGCAATTGAGTCTAGTGAGAGAGGACGGACCAGTTTTCTCCATATTTGAACCCCCTGATAGGTTATCCAATTCTAACTGGCAACATTTAATACAAATGCATACAAGCAAAACTAAATGGATTCACCAGGCTATACATGCAAACATATGTACATAATTCATATATGGATACATGCATACACAAAAGCATATGTGTAATAATTCTAATTAAAAATAAAAGGTTGTGGATTTGAAGGGGAATAGGGAGGAGAGACACGAGAGGATTGGAAGGAGGAAGAGGAAGAATGAAGTGATGTGAATACAGTCAGTTTGTGAGAAATTCTCAACTTTTTATTTTTAAATTTAAAATGTTTAATGTTTGTGTCCCCCCAACTTAAAAAAAACTGTTTCTGAATATTCCCACAACTCTAGGAGAGCGACAGAGTGATGTGAGAGAGAAGGGACTGGAATGTCCTTGTGGCTGTTATCTGAAAGAACAGCAGATCTCAGTTGGATACATTCCTGTGTGAGGCAAGTGCCATCTATTGGAAGGAACAAAGACCCTGAATTCCTGCTCATGCAGCAATGCTCGCTAACCCTCAGGATGCTGATCCCCCAAGGACAAACCAATGCCTGTGCTTACAGAGTTTAATCTTAAAGTACTTCCCTCTTAGTGCTGGGAACAGAGGGAGGCAGACAGGATAGAAGCACTATTGTCTAACTGGTTGCCCCAGAACTCTCCCTGTTATGGCTCTTCGTTAAGTCCCCTCCCCACACCTTAAAGAATAGATGTCTTTTGTTTGTTTGTTGCATTTCGTTTGAGACAGAATCTCATGCACCAAGCTGGATGCAAACTCCAGGATGACTTTGAATCTGTGGTCCTCAGGCTCAGATTACACATCCCTGGTAGGATGGAAGATGTGTGCCACCATACCTGGTTTTTACCATGGTAAGGATCAAATCCAGTGCCTCATACATGCTAGACAAGCACTCTCCCAATGGAGCTACATCCCCAGACCCAAGTTCAAAACCTTTTATGTCTTGTAGGCATTATTTAGAGTCTTAGAATTTTGTCACAACAAGGACAGCTGGTATGTCTGGGATTTACTTTGTCCTTCCCTATACAGGCTATTATTTCCAGGCACAGTACAGGACAACCCTGATGATATTCTGAGAGACTAGATCAGTCCCAAGCAGACTCCCTGGTTGTCCATTCAGTGGCTTTCTCTGACTCTTTTTACTGACTTCTGGGACCCTGATTCTCATGCTAGGTCACCTTGCCCAGTCTTAATATATGGGAAGGTGCTTGGTCTTAGTTGACATGTCATGTTTTATTAATACTCATTGGAAACCTGCCCTTTCCTGGATGAAGACAGAAGAGAAGGGTATGAAGGGTGGGAGCTGAGGTAGGGGAAACTGGGGAGGGCAGGATGGTAGAGAAGGCTGTGGCCATAATGTAAAATAAATAGATTAATAATAATAATAATAATAATAATAATAACTGCCTGGGGTGACACTCTAGAAGCTTAAAACAGTATCAGCTACTAAGTTGTGTTGAAAGAGATTTCCTTGTCACCTCATATGGATTGTGAATCTGCCAGCACAGGTGTTTACAGAGACCCCCATCCCCACAACCAGACTTCGCTAAGTTTCTGTACCTGTCTAGCCATCTCACTGACCTTTTTGGTTGAAGTTTAGTCTGAGTGGTCTGTCTGAAGATGGCCATGAGGAATGGAAGTGACATGCTACTCTTGGGTCTATGACACATTTATTGCTGTGCAAGTTTATTGTATGATTTGGGAGTGTCAACTCTTGGTGCATATATATTTATAAGTGTTATGGTTAATTCAAAGGTTGTTCCTTTGCATTATGTATTGGCCTTCTTTATCTCTTGTCAATAATGTCAGTTGGACTCAATTAAATAGTCCCACCAGCCTGTTTTCTATTTCTATTCACTTGATAGACTGATTCCTCTCAGCGACACAAACTCTGTGAAAAGCAGTACCAGCAAAAGATCCACTTAGTAGATAAAAAACTATGAGAAGAAGACTACAGTAGTATATGTGAGTGTAAAATTATTAGTATATCCTTTTAAATAAGTGAATTGGTTATACATGATACTGACTCACACACGCAAAAAATAAACTAAGACATTTTTTATTAACAAATTTCGGTCATTGTTGAGACTTCCACAGCAGATACTGTTAAAATAAAACAAAATAGGAAAGTGAAATAAGAATTTCATATCTAACTAAACAATATAGCGAAGTGATGTCCAACTCAGTATCAATGAATGCCTATGACATCGCAGTCATAAACTATAAAGTTCTCTGACATGAGCTTAATTCCTCAGAAAATGCAAGATATTAGTCCTAAGGCAGAAAGATTACAATATAGCCCAAAACACACTTACATGAGATTACTAAGCTATTAATTCCTTCTGTAATTAAAATAATTTAGGGAACACGTAGATGAGGGTATTTGATCAGGTTACTAATTTGGGACTCAATAGAAAATTAAACTGAGTTTTTAAACACTTTGTGTATGTGTTTTATGGAAGGTATATTTGTGTAAGTTCAAGGCCATTCTGCTCTGCAGAGTGAGTTCCAGAGAAGTTAAGGTTATATAGTAAGACCTTGGCTCATACACACAGACACACATGTGTGTCTGTGTGCCTGTGTGCCTATTTGTGTGAATAAATATACATATATTGATATGTAACATGTCAACATATAATGTAATAATATATTAAACTTCATTTAATACTAACATAAATGCACACTTTATGTTGAGTTTCTTATAATACTTTCTTGCTTTCAATTCATGGTCACAATATTCAGTAACAGACAACTAAACAGGCCCTTCACTGATGCATAGCAACACTGAGCAGGAAAAACACCAGCCAAGTAGCCCTTTTGCCAGAAATTGACTAGACTCTGTGGTGGCAGCCTGGTTGTTTGAGACTTCTACAGACACTGCAGATGATCACGACAGTCACAACTGAGGATATGCTTGGGCAGTCTGCAGACCTTACCAAGCACAGTGGACTTCAGATAACACTTCCCACGCAGCAGCTAGTCACACCCCAGTCAGACAAGGAGCACTTCCTGAGGTGCTCCACCAGAAGCCCCATGTTTGATATTAAGGACTAGGTGCTAACATGACCCTTCCTGAAGATGAAGGATGTACACACCACCTTGCCACATAAGCTTCTGTCTAGACAAGCAGGCTGCTGTGTTCACCTTGCCAGCATCCAAAGGACATATTCCTGTGCCACCCCCTCATGCTGCAACTCAGGCTCAATAACAGCCTTCTTCCGATTGTTTTTCAGTGCCTAGTTTTGATCTCTAGCAGTTTGAACATATAGCATTGAAAGAGGAATAAGTAAGGTACCACCGTGTGCTGCTGATTGTAAGATTGCCTTTCAGTTCATGTGTATGTTTAGTGCCCCCTGAAGCAAGGGAATGTGAGGGGAATGAGGAAATAAGTAAGTTACAGGAAAGGGGTTTGGTGTATTGCCAATGTGGGAGTACCTCATTTTGAGCTCTGCTTCTGGGAACCCACTGTCCATTGTCATTTCCTGAGTGGACTATAAATTCAGTAGAGGCTGTCCAGTCTTTTCTGTGAGTGATCTCTGATCATCAGCGTCTGGCACTAACTGCCCTGCAAGTGAGCTCAGTAGAAATGGAAAACCTACTGAAGCTGTGTCTCTTTCTTCTCTGCCTTGAAACCGGTAAGTATTGCCTGTATCTTGTTGCCTTATCTATCAAAGAAAGAAAATCAACTGCCTTTTATTTTACCTTGCCTTGCCTGTGGTGTTGAGACATGCCGACTGGAGCACACCTATTAGGCAAAACATGGTTGCAGCCAAGTAATCCAGAGATCTAGTTTTCCATGGGAAGTGACAACACAGCACCTGTCTCCTTTAAGTAGTCTTTATCTTTGCAGCTCTCTCTGTGCAGTGCGCACTGTGTCGAACTTACAAAAATGGAGAGTGTCTTAATGGGAATGGCACATGCACTACAAGACCTGGTGAAACGTGTATGATCCGCAGAATCCTGTATGCATCTGAAAGTAAGTATGTGCTCTGTGCTCTGGAGAATTCTGTTTCTCCTTCAGGATTCCAAACACCATCTCTAAGATATTGTACTTAAAGAAAATGAGTTCACTGACATCCAGTTATGATATTCCAAACCTTGTGCTGGGGTCAACTTTTGGAGAATACTAAAGCTAAGTACATCTTGAGTGAATAGGACTATGGGACTTCTCTCCATCATTGTATTAATACATTCATCAGCCCTTGATCTGCACCAGCTCTATTTAGGGTCTGTCTTGGTCAGTTTTTCCATTCCCATGACAAAAGAGCATAGCCAAAGCAATTATAAAAGAAAACACTTAATTTGGGTCTGGCTCAAAGTCCCAGAGTTAAAATCCATGATGATCACTGTGGACAGCATGGCAGCAAGCGTGAAGGCATGGTAGTGGTGCAGGAGATGAGCATTTACATGCTGAGTCATAACAATGGGGAGAGAGAGAGATGGAGAGAGACAGAGACAGAGAGACAGAGAGAGAGAGAGACAGAGACAGAGACAGAGAGAGATAAGAGACGGAGAGACAGAGAGACACAGAGAGAGACTGAGTCAGAGAGACAGAGACAGAGACAGAGAGACAGACAGAGACAGGGACAGAGAGACATACAGAGAGAGAGACAGAGACATTGAGACGCAGAGAGAGAGATCGACAGAGACAGAGACAGAGAGACAGAGAGAGAGACAGAGAGACATACACAGAGAGAGAGAGACAGAGAGACAGACAGAGAGAGACAGAGACAGAGAGACAGAGACATTGAGACACAGAGAGAGAGACAGAGACAGAGAGACAGAGACAGACAGACAGAGACAGAGACAGAGAGACAGAGACAGACAGCGACAGAGAGACAGAGACAGAGAGACATACACAGAGAGAGAGACAGAAAGAGAGAGAATGGCATTGGCTTTTAAAACCCCAAAGCCTATCTCTGGTGATACACCTTCCCATACAAGGCTACACTTCCTAATTCTTCCAGAGAACTTTGACCAAGTGTGTCAAAGTTGAAATTTGAAACCTCTGAGAGCTGTTGTATTTCAAACTCCACAGGCTCCAAGGCTACAAAATATCAGTCCTTTCCTGGTGGCTTTAGCTTTTCTAATGTTCATTGAACTTATGTCTTAGCCTGGAATCACCTTCTCATCCTCAGGACAACTTGATGCCTCTCAAGTCTTCCTCTTTTGTTTATCTCCTGGCATCTTTCATGGGGTATCCTTCCTGTCATTCCACAGAATCTTGTGTGCTAATGTTATCTTGATCTCTACATGCCCAATTATTCACCACTGAGTCCGGATTCCAGCATGGATAAGCATGCTTAAGGTTCGATGATGCTGTGTGTCTCTACATGTAGAACCTCAAGCTCACCACTAAGCAAATATTTCTCTTGTAGGAAAGGCTATTGGGTAAATCAACTTTCTCCACATGTAGCTAAAATGTGTGCATCAAGAAGGCTTAAAGGCTTAAAAGCACTAACTGCTATTAAAGAAAATTCTTTCATTGAAAGCATCCTCAATCAAAAAATACTTGAATATGGGGTTTTATCCTGACTCTAAAAAATCTTTTTGCTATCTTCTTAAACAGGCCATAATCTGAAAAGTGCAGAGTTGAGGTGCACAGATGTCTGCAAATTTGAAGTAATATTTTATGAAGGCCTAATAACACATACATACTGCTGCAATTCTGAAGATTTCTGCAATGACATTAACTTACCAATCATCATGGACTAGTGTCATCTGGTTTCAGTTGACCTCATCATTCATTTCCATTTCTTCCTGTCTTTCTTTTCTTCCTTGGGTTTCATATTTTTTAAGACCAGGGATTTTTCTAAGCCTCACATTTTGCAAGTCATAGAACTTGGGGACAGACAGAACTTCCTTGGTATTAAGAAAATGTATCTGATTATATTAGCTAATTCTTATTCCTGATATTCCCTAGACCTCATCACCATGAATGTAGTTGACATGTGGTTACATCAATGCATTTGTCACACCAGAAGGGCTCAGCAAAACAGATGAGTAGATAAAAGGATGGGTAAAATGTCAGAAAGAGGGGGAACATTCCCAGTACCCTAAAACATGGGTTTCAGAAATTGGTTGCAACTATTTTGCATCGTGACTTACACTTCCAGGGACAAATTTAAAGCAGGAAAGATTGTTGCAGACGACAGTTTCAGTCCTTCATTGTCTTGTTCCATTGCCATCAGCCTATAATAAAACTAAACATGAAACGCCATGACATACCAAAACTTCTCACCTCATGATGTCCAGGAGTAGCAAGACAGAGGATAAGGTAAGACAAGGATGCTAACAAAACACACTCGATGACCTGTTCTAAAAGTAAGACTCACAACTGAAAATAAAGACGTCTAGATGGTCTTATTCCCAAGAATGATGAAAATCACTGCTACAAGGTTGTAATACCAAGTTTCACTCAGTGAAGAATATCTCCACCTTTTGCTTCTGTTATATAGCTGCCAGAAAATAAATTCATCAAATGGCTACTACTCTTTGAAAGACTTTTTTTTTGAGCATGTAGAACCAGGAATGAAAATGATGTTGACTCTCAGTAAGAAGGAATTGGATTTGCAAACCCTCATTCCTTTCCCCCATCAAATTTCAGGCACCTTAGGAATAAACTTTCATTTCAGTGATTTCAGGCATACTAAATCGTCAGCACTGAGTAGAATCAAATTTCTTCTCGATGTGTAAGATATACTCATGATTCAGGAAGTCATCAGCCTTTCAGTTAGCACACATAGGATTTATTAAACATTTACTACTACAGATCATTTTCCCCTTTATTAATTGGATATATTGCAATAGAATGGTTGGAAAAGGAGTAAAGTGTCTAAAAAGTGATTAGTCACAAATGCAGTATCTAGGCCGCATGCCCTCCTTTCAAGGCTCAGTGGTTACCACAGAAAAGAGAGCAGAAATACTGAAAGAGTCAGAAATGGTGTAGTACTGGAGAAAAAAAAACCCTCTCCTTGACATGACAAGGTCATTGCACTCCTGGACTCAGGGCAGTTGTGGTTCCCTACACAAGATCTGCACAAAATCAAGCCAGTCAGCATGCCAGCATGGATGGAGGAGGGGAACATCATTTCCTACCCCTACCTGAAGGGCTATTGAAAGTTAATGGCTACAAGGGGAAAGAGAATCAGTTTTCTTCAGATATTTGAACCTTGGTAACTTGTCCATGTTCTGATAGATGTCTCCAAAACTATGTTTGTTTGAACAGCACGAATTTGACTCAGTGGTTTGGTTTTTTAATGACATGAAATGGGTGGCATGGAGAGGATTTAAAAGGGATTGGAGGGAAGAATGGATGTTGTGACAATGTTGCAAATAATTTGTATGCATGTATGAAAGTCTCAAAGAATTAAGAAAATGTATTTATCACATTTGTCTTAAAAATGACTGATAAATCTTTTGCTAAGTAAAATTCTATCTTTCCCTCATGGGAAGAAGAGGATACAGGATGGTCAAGTGGGAAACAGATGGAGAGGGAGATCCAGGAAAGAAGTACCTTGATAGAGACAGCCACAACGGGGTCAGGTAGAAACCAGGTGCCAGGGAACTTCCAAAGAATCCACATGGACGACCCTAGCGACGCCTCCTAACAATAGTGGAAAAGATGCCTCAACTGGCCTCCCCCTGAAATCATATTGGTGAATACCCCAACTATCATCATAGAGCCTTCATCCAGTAATTGATGGAAGCAGATGCAGAGATTCACACCAAGCACCAGGCCATATTCCAGGAATCCAGTCTAAGAGAGAGAGGAGGGAACACATGAGCCAGGGAAGTCAAAATCAGGGACATGGGAACCTTGCTCACATGGAAACTCATGAACTGTGGGCCAACAGCTGTGGAGCCCCTAAGAGACTGAACTAGGCCCTCTGTGTGTAGGAGACAGTCATGAAGCTTTGACTATCTGAGGGGCCCTAGCAGTAGGACCAGGATCTATCTCTGGTACATGAGCTAGTTTGTCGGAGCCTATTTCCTACGATGGGCTGCCATGCTAGGCCTTAGCACAACTAGAAGGGACTTGGTCCTTCCCCAGCTTAATATGCCAGGCTTTGTTGACTATTCATGGGAGCCCTTGCCTATTGTGAGGAGTGGGTAGGGGTGGACTGGTGGGTAATCATGGGAGGGGAGCAGAAGTAGGAGTGAGAAGGAGAACTTTGATGGGAATGTAAAATGAAATTTAAAAAAAGAAACACTCTATCTTTGAGATGGGTGTGGTGGCATATACCTGGTATCTCAGCATTCATGAGACTGAGCCATGATGTTGGGTGAGCCACAATGTGACTGTGTCATATAATTTGTTGCTATATTTCTGCCCATAATTTCTCCTACCAAGGACAGACACATGGGGAGACTCCATCTCAAAGAGATATGCATTTCTTTCTTAGGTGTGAAGATGGACTTCAATTTCACAAAAATCCTCATACCAAAATACATATGCAATAAGCTCATTTCTCTAAAACCTCCTTTAATAAATAGAACCTTTTTGGCAAAATAAAAACCCAGTGAAATATGCAATGCAATCGATGACCTAGGTTATCTAAACATCCTATGCCAGGAATTCCTGCTCCCTGAACTCTAATAGAAATGTCAAACAATGTATTTATAGTCTTCTGTTATTGTATCTCCCTCTGTTTTATGAATAGCTCTCCAAATATCAGCCTGACTAGAACAGATCATTACACAAACTCATGTCTATCTTTCTTACAGACTCTTGAAATGTGTTTTATGTAAGTTTTACACCACCTGCAATTATATGTACAGCAATTATTTGCATGTTTTTGTGATGAAGGAAAATAGGAGCACCCAAGACCAGAGCTGAGCAGTGTAAGACCATGACCCAGCAGGGAAGACACCAAATCCCTCAGGTCCACTATCAGAACCTGGAGCTTCAGTTTCAAAGATACACGGTTCTTCCCTTCCAGCCTACTGACTGCAACACACAACCATCTTGAACTGGTGACACTCCAGGTGTGCAGCTTCCTTTGGCAGAGGGCTCATGTCTACAGCATTTCCAGTACCTTGGGGATTCTGCCAAAACTCCACTTTTATATTCGTAGTTCCACAGAACATTTTCCAAGGGCCAAGGCATATGAACCTCTGTGCTGCCACTGAGCTCTGCTTTTGTCAGATGAAGAACAGTAAATGTAAAAGAAGGGCAGAAAAATGTAAAAAGGGAGAATAGATTCATGAAATTGATTTCTTATGTCTCATTGAAAGTTGATGAGGGAAAATTATAGCTGCACTCTGTTTTAACCTAGTAACATATACCAGCTGAGGAGAGATTTCATTTGAATTTACCTGGAGAGACTAGAGTGGGTTTATGACACCATAGCTAACTAGAATATTTACTATTATAAAAGAAATACCCTTCCCTGATGTGGGATGGCATACAATGAACAATGAGAAGGCAACAAGAATAACAGGGAACAGACAGTGCATGAGGTCTGCAGAAGAATCTGATGGATTTCCTTCAAAGAGTAAAACTGTAAGCCGTCTTCTTCAAAGTTGGAAATCCAGAGAAAAACCAGACAAATTATGAAAATTGTAAGAAAAGTGGGACATAACATTATATAACAAGTAAATCCAGATAAGCATTAGGACATACTTTAAAATTCTACATTTCAACAATTTGGAAAATCTAAAAGAAATGGATAATTTTTCAATGCACAACACTTACCAAAGTTAAACTAAGATCAAACAAGCAATATGAAGATACCTGTAATACTTAGTTGAACAGATGAAGAACCTAAATGCCTTTCCATCAAAAGAGAAGAAAAGAAAATCCCGGGACCAAATGTTTTTAGCACAGAATTCCAACAGGGTTTCAATGAATCATTAATAAAAATACTCCTCAAAATAGTTCACAAAATGGAAACAGATGAAACAATTTGTTTTATGAGGCCACAGTTACCCTTATACTCAAACCACATAAAGGGGGGAGAGAGAGAGAGAGACAGAAACAGAGACAAAAACAGAGAGATACAGAAACACAGAGACACACAGAGAGACACAGAGAAAGAGACAGAGAGAGAATGTCTCCTATGGAAATAGATGCAAAATTTCTCAATGAAATATTTGTAAATCTAAACTACAAACACACAAAAAAGGATCATCCAAGATGATCAAAGGGGCTTCATCCCATAATTGCAGGGATGATTAACATAGGTAAATTGATAAGTGTAATACACAATATAAACAATCTGAAACACAAAAACCACATGATCCACATTAGGCAGAGAAATGACCTTTGACAAAATCCAACACCCTGTCAGGTAAAAGTCCTGGAAAAATTACGTATGTAGAGGACACATCTCAAAATCATAAAGGCAGTTTACAGGAAGTTCATCGCCAACTTCATCTTAACTGGAGAGAAACTCAGAGCTGTTTTGCTAAAAACTGTGACAGACAAGGATATCAGCTCTCTTCATACCCTTTCAGTATAGGACTTGAAGTCTTGAGGTAGGGCAATATGAAACTGAAGGAGATAAGAGGAGACAAACTGGAAAGGAGAGGTCAACATGTTTTTATTTGCAAAGTAACTGGATGAAAAAATCAGTTCACAAAAACTCAGTAACCCTCTGATATACAAATGACAAATGAACTGAGAAGGAAATCAGGGAAACAATGCCTGTCACAATATCCTCAAATAATTTAAAATATCCTGGGGTAACTCTAACCAAGCAAGTGAAAGACACATGTGACAAAATCTCCAAGTCTTTGAAGAGGGTATCAGGAGATGGAAAGATCTCCCATGCTCAGGGATGGGCAGAATTAATATAGTGAAGAACAGCCACTCTGAACAAAGCACTCTGCAGGATCAATGCAAGCCTCATAGAAACCAATACAATTCTTCACAGATCTTGAAAAAACAATTGTCATCTTCATATGGTAACACACACAGGATATCTAAAATTACATAGTTTTAGATATATAAACTGAACAATAAAAGATCTGTAGAAGATATCATTACTGATGATTTCAACAGAGATCTATTAATCATACAAAAGTGTGTTATTAGCGCAAAACCAGACATATTGATCAGTGGAATCCAATTGAAGACTGGGACATAAATGCACACACTTATGAACACCTGAATTTTTTAGAAAGAAGCCAGAAATTCACTTGAAGAAAAGACAGAATCTTCAATAAGATGGTGCTGGTCAAACGTCTTCATGAAGAAGATTCCAAGCAGATCTATAATTATTACCTTGCATAGAACTCAACTCCACATGAATCAAAGACCTCAACATAAAGCCAGATAAACTGAACCTGATAAAAAAGAAAAGTGCAGTGACCTGGAACTCATTGGCATAAAAAAGACCTTCTGAACAAAGCACCATTAGCACAGGCACTATGATGAACTATTAACAAATGGGACCTCATGAAACTCATAAGCTTCTGAATGGCAAAGGACACCATCATTTGGACAAAGCAGAAATC